TATCGACGGTATGATTATTTTTTCCATTGTCTACTTTGCTAAATAGACTAATTGCTCCCGGTTCCCCAATTGCACCAATCAGAATGCGGCACGTCTGTTCATGCGTAAGCAAGGAGGACTTAGAATAATTGCTCCCGCTTTGCTTATTAGACCAATCACAACGCGCCACGTCAGTTCACACGTTAGAAAGTAGAACACATCGTTCGTAACATCCTAATATTTTATATTTACTGTTTACACATAGTCATATGCACTCGTGGTTGTATTAAATTGGCTTATCTTCATAAGAGTGGTATTAGTAAGGCAAATGATACTTTCGTCGACTTTTTGGTGTAAAATGTCAAAGAGAGAATCGGAATCTCACAAATTTTATATATATGTACATATACTACATATCGTATATAATTGAAATACTGAGACACATATGGTTTGTCATAAAAACGAAAATCATTATTGTAGTGACTGTATGGGAGTTGAGGTAGTACCGACATTTTCGGTCATAAGAATAATGCAATTTACCAAATTTTGTTGAAAACGGTCGGTTTGATTCCGAGATATGAGATTTCACCAAAAAGTGGGCGGTGCCACGCCTATCGTCCAATTTTGACATCAGTTCTCATATAGCACTCTTCTCCTACATCGTAGATAAAATTTGATGTCTCTGGTGTATTTAGTTATTGTCTTGTTGCGCTTTTAGTAGTTTTTAACATCTGGTGAAAGCTCGCTCTTGACTTTATGACCTGAAAATACTTCACTCACAAGGATTATGTAAGTAGCAAGAGTATAAAATGTACTTTTATACCTGAAATTATTAAATTGTTGAAAGATGGCGATAGTTTAAAAAAATGAGCAAATTCCGAGAATAGCACCATAAATAATAAAAATGGTGAAAGTTAGTCGTCAAATTACGACAGCATTTCTGGATATTATTATATTAGAGAGACGAAAGCTCATTGAATTAGCTAAATAAGTCTCCAGGATTCTGGAAGCAAAACTTTCGGATGAAAGTAAATCTTGCAGTGGAGTATCTCCCCTTGAAAATCAAAATGTTGTTGGTACAGTGGAACACGGTGGTGTTGGAATTGTGAGGTGGGGTTGCATGGCGACTGGTAGTATGGGTTAGCTTAAATTTATTGAATCGATAATGGATAAATGAGGATATTTGAACACTTTAAAAAAGAATGCAGAAGAATGACAAAATATTTTACCGGAAGTAACAGAAAATCTTCTAAATTCAATGCCGCTTCGATTATTCTTCTTTATTGGCGTAGACTCTGCTTACGCGGTTATAGCCGAGTTTACAACAGGCGCGCCAGCCGTTCATCCTTTTCGCGAATTAGCGCCAATTATAGTTTCGAAATATAGCCAAATCCTACTCCATCTGGTATTTCCGACGGAGTGAAGGTATTTCATTTCTTTTGGTTCCCCCGGCAGTTACTGTGTCGAATACTCTTAGAGCCGGAGTATTTTCACGCATTCAGACGATATGAGCTAGCTAGCGTAGCCGCTGTCTCTTCTCTCGAAAACTCGTACCGCCAACACGTCAGATGTTGTCATCGCCCATGCCTCTTGACAATATAGTAGGACGGGGATGATAAGTAACTTGTTGAGTTTTTTCTTTGTTTATGGGCGTAGGTCTTTACTTCTCAATTGACTACTCAGTCCAAAATATCACCTGTTGGCAAGAGCTATTTTGAGTTGAAAAATCGATAAATCGTTAGAAAAATCGAGCGGCGGAGAAGGCACAATATACAAAATTAATATGTATGTGATTTCCTTCCAGTTCTGAAGAAGATAATTAAAGTGGGCAATATACACAATTTGAAGTTTTAGCAAGAGAAAGTATTTTGACAAAATAAAAGGAGGTGATGTGGTTGGAAAGTGACCAAGGTTGCATAGTAAAATATTTATCTACGGCATATTCTAGAAGAAATATTACGTTTTTACTATTGATTGATCAAAATCAAAGCACATCAGAACTTGCACCCAATTACAAACGTCTAGAGTTTTAGGGTCCTTTCACAGGATATACCGAAAACTTTCATTGTTAAATTTACTGTATTAACGATGAAGCGGTTTAGTATTTATGGAACAAAATATGATTTTTGTTCTAAAGCTATGAGTAGGCATGGCTTTACGGAAATTTTAATGAGTCAACGTTTGCAAACTGATAAACTTGGGTTAGTGTCAATTGTTGGAAATAAACACATATGTTGTCAACAGCCACAACTGTTTCAAACCAGAAGCATATATGAAAGTACATGAGCAATTGTTTGCAACGCAGGCCAGATGTACATTTACACACTACAATTTTGGGTTAAAATTCTGACTGGCTTCGGTTGTTTAAACGATATACGAAATAAATGAGACTACTGGAACCTTATGAAAGGTAGGACTGTAATAATCAACAACTTTTTAACAGTGTTTCTTTAGCTTCTAAATTATTACCCAATAACACTACGTGGATTTATACCGTACATTCTAACCAACGGGACTTTCAAAAAAATTGCAAGGAAAATAAGGATAATATAGCTGGAAAGAATATTTCAACGAACGATTTTTTTATTCGTTTGACTGAAGTATGATGCCAATACAGTTTATCTATTGTATGTATATAAGTTATTTTATTCGGTCTTTAATTGCTTCCATAAGCACTTCCCTCGCTCATGTGCTAAGCTCATGCACTGATCATCGAATTACAACAGCTGACCAAAAATTTAATTTGATCGCGCATGAAGTGAACGATGCAGACAGGAAGCATTGCAATTTTTGGCAGCTTGGGAACTGCAGTACCTTAACTACTGTTAATTACTCCCTCCTTCAAAACATGGTCGTCCTCGGCCATACCCAACCTTTCCAACACTTGACGCACCGGCTTAGAAGTTTCTCTTCGCCGCCTGCGCTTTAGTAAGATGATTGATCCAGCAAGGACTACGGCGATTGTGGCACAAATTACTGCGGCTACTAGTGGTGTAGCAATCGTTCGTATACATACGTAATTCAGCGATGTGGCGCAAGTTTGCTTCACTTACCTTGTGGAGAAATAGTAGGCTTAGTAGGGTATGATGGGAGGTTATGTTGATCCGTGCTGAAGCGGACTGTTGTGGAAGTCTCTTCGGGTATCCATTGGGAGTAACGTATTTGGTGCCATTGATAAAAGTGGTGCGTTCAAATGTAACCAGATAAGTGCAATTAATAAGCATTTCAGGGCTATTATCTATGCTAGCCTTGACTATTGCATCGTTTATCAAAACTATACCATCGTCGACGACGACAATGGGGATAAGTCGCTGGGCTTGGTGGCACAGCGCCGGAGTGTAGGCTTTGTTAGCAAGTTTCAGTTTCGGCCTCTTTACAGAACGTTACCATTAGTGTTGTCCGGTAAATGCAGTATACGGCCAGCATGCGATACGGGAAAAATAGTAATCTTCTTACATAATAACTTAGGTCTAAGGAAACCGATAATAAAACTTATAATTTCCTTACTGGCTAAAACCTTAACTCTAGCTATGCTAAACAATTGGCTTATTGTAACTCCTGTGAAACTCTCCTTCATAATCGCCTCCAAATCATCTGCATCGATAACAGCAGGGTTTATTAAATTAAATTTAGCTAGTGTGATTGCAATTATTAAATTTTGAATTTCTAGTGTTTTTTTTTACATCGATAATCTTATTGGCGGTATTCGTGAGGGCGTTAATCTGCTCCTGCGTTTTGGAATTAATGACGATCTGCCTATTGTTTGACTGTATTATTTGATTGTATTAGCTCCTGCTCCGTTAGTCTTGTTTGTAGTAAGTCATTAAAGTCAGGCGTCCCGGCTATTACTTTCAGGGCGGAGCCCAAAAAGTTTATTCTCCGAACATGCCTATGGGGTACTCCTAATGTCATTAATAAAGTTCGTAAATGCCTGGTGTCTACTTCTAGGATCTTCCTCATGTGTGATTGTGGGAAGACGTTAATCAAGTTTGTGGTTTCTTGTATGTATTGTCCATATTCCGTTAAGTTTGATATATGCCTTATGTACCTTGCCTTGTTCCAAATCACTGCAGTACCGTCTAGGATCGGTATGTAGTCCGCGTGCGAGTAGTCCGTTAATTTGGAAGCTGTCAACTATGAAAAAGGTATTATGTCGAGAGTTTCACTTGAGGTTGTCCTTGTGGACGACCCTCCCTTTAATAAGAACGGGTTTTCCTAGATCAGCGTCTATCCTTTCCTCGACATACAGTGGAGTGATTTTGTCGCCTAGTCTCTTGTTGGACCTTACCAGGACATTTTCTTCAACTTCGAAGATTCTATGTTGGCGTTAAGCATTACTCCGCTCCAGTTGTTCTTGTTGGGGTTTCTCTAGTCTGGCAGCAATATCCGGGAAAATGTGTAAGCTGGCATGGATAACCTCAATCGGCTTCATGCCCGCCACTGAATGGAACGTCCTATTATATTCCACGGCGGCCTGAAGAAAGAGTTCAACTAGGTCTTGTATCTGTCTGACGATTTACAAGAGAAGTGGAATCTTTCCACTTGTCCGTTTGACGTACTGTGCAACGATGGCGCATTTACCACATTGATGTCGTATTGGTTTTCATACACCTCGCTTCTTTCTTCCGTCAAATGATTAATCCTCTGGCGTCTGTAGTCCGACGCTCTTTGAGAATTCGCAGGTCTCTTGAACCCACCTTGTGGTTGACTATTGTTAAAGGGATGTGCTATAGGTAGGCTTGAGTTATGCGTAATCTGGGGTCGAATCGTTACATCCGTGCACAGATCGGCAAACATACGAAAGAAAATTACGTGATACGTCAATCGTATGCGATGCTTGGCATTATGACATACGATAGCAAACGTATCGTAATGTCTTTTCAATTCACAATCAGCCCTATTCTGCATTTCGATTACGTTCGCGCTCTACGCTCCGCCTGAATCGAAAGTAGGTATTCTGAGTAACGATTGGATTGAAAGAAGAAGAGGAAGAGCTGTAGCTCTTTCGAAGTCAGCTGTTTGCCTTGGAATGTGTGAAATTGAAACAAAATAAAGCAAACAGATACAAATTTGTGGAAAAACTATTGGTGCTTAAATAAAATAAATTAAATATATGTACATATAATTCCGTAATGGAATCGATAGCTGCGGCGACATTTCTTGAGGAGGACGGCAACGCATACGAGAATGCTGACGCGAAAGTTGAAAGGAGAAGATTGCGAGATATGTATGATCCATTTCAGATGAGTGACGAATTGTAAGAAATTGAGTTTGAAAGAGATAAATCTTAATTCATTGATTTACTTATTTAGATTCAAAAAAAACTTTAGACTTAATAAGGACGCTTTCAAGTATGTCCTAGATACTTTTGCGGAAGAAACTCAACAAAGTACTTTGACGTCGTTATCTCCGCTTAATCGCGTAGTGGCTGCTTTGAGATTTTTTGCGGAAGGCAGTTACCAACATGGAGTTGGTACTGATTATAACGTCGGAATGGGTCAGTCAACTGTGTCAAAGTCACTGTCTCATTTTCTCGAAGTCATGCAAAGAAAGCTTTGCCGTGAGTGGATCAAATTTGACCAGAGTGAAGAGGAAAAAATGCAAGCGGAGCAAGAGTTTTATGCGAAGGCTAGTTTTCCAGGAGTAATTATATGTGTTGATGGTACCCACATAAAAATAGTGAAGCCATCTGAAGAGGGGTTTCTATATTACAATAGAAAAGGATTTTATAGCATCAATGCTATTTTGGTGAGAATAATGTTCATCGCATCAGTTCCATAATTCAATATTCATTAGTTTTATCAATTTAATTTCACTTTTCAGGTGTGCGATAACAGAATGCGTATAAAAAGCATTGATGCCAGGTATCCTGGGTGCAATCACGACTCGCATGTATGGGGCTTAAGCAAGCTTAAATCGCATATGGAACGGCGATATCGGGAAGGTGAAAGAAAGTGTTAAAGTAAGTTTTGAATAGTTATTCGCTTTATTAACAGGTGATGCGGGGTATCCATTGCAGCCTTGGCTAATGACTCCGTATCGATCTGTAACTCAAGGCAGCCCGCAAAGTAATTACAGCATGCGGCACTCCACAACAAGAAATATAGTAGAGCGGACTATTGGGGTATTGAAGAACGGTTTCCGATGCTTGTTAGGTGCTCGAGAACTACATTACTCACCACACAAAGTCAGTCAAGTAATAAACGTTGCCTGTGCCCTCCAAACCATTTGCATTTACTACAAAGTGGAAGATTTGAACGCAAGTGAATTTAATTTTGAAAGCCGTCAGGAGGAGAAGGAAGAGCAAAGCAGTGACCCCGATTATACTTCCATAGCAAATCGTATTCGAGACAATATACTCTCTACTTTTTAATATATTTGAGAAACGAGTACAATAATAAAAACATCTTTATTAAATTCTAAAATGTATGTATATATACTATTCGTATATTAAAAAAAAATAATTTGCATTCAGTGCATTTCACAACTTGTTACTTAAAGATAATAAATTGAATTTAGTTCATTTACAACAGTTCAGTTCACAGCTTCTTTCTTAAAGATAATTGAAACAAAAAACTAAAAAAAAAGTTCAGGTACAAAATTTACGTTATTTACTAAATTACTTCGAATCTGATTTATAATTTGGATCTAGCTTTAGCATCTGCATCTTTATTTCCACTTTTTGCCTTACCAATTCTTCCTTAATTTTATTGTATCGTTTCTGTTCTTGTAGTTGCTTCAATGCGGTGTCCGCCATACATTCTAAAGAACGATTCATGCGACGTAAATATGTCACCATTTATTCCATTTTACTAACTGCAGCTTCATTATGGTTTTTTTGTCCTCGTAAAACTGTTTCTGGAGAGCTATTTGTTCTTTGAGTAAGGAAGAAGCGCTCTCCTTATCAGTTCTTTCTCTGCGCTGGCTGCTAAATCTGCTGCATGAAGGAGTTTCATTTCGGTCCTCCGAACATGCGGAAATGTCCATTTCCATTTGGGCAACGTCTTGTACCTGCGCACTATCGCCATAATCCCGCGCACATCTTATTCCATTTGTACAAGTTTCCAACCCCCTCAAAGCTATAACCTTCTCCTCAAGTGGGCTTATACGTTGCAAGCGACATTGACCTCCACCTGTGCTCATAATCTCCTTTTTATTTGCAGACAGCTTGCGTTTTATATAGCACTTCCAGTCAATCCACACCTGTAACAAAACGTTTGAAGTATTTAAAAAATGTATTTTCAGTAGTACAATACCTTTCACCATGTACTGGAGTCTTTTGATGGTGGACCAAGTGCATTTAGGGCATTTGCAATTTCCTCCCAAAACTCCTTCACTTCTTCCTTCGGTCGCTGTTGGAAGCCCTGCGCAATATCTCGTTTGGTTGCCATTATATCAGCCAATTTTTCATATTGCTCTGGTGTTGTTGTTTTTGACCTACAAATATATCAAAAAGCATCATTAAAGTACAAAAAACCAAGGAYACCACCATTATACCMTTTACAACTATAATCATAMAGTTTYACWTACATATTTGAGGAAATTATCTTATTCAAGTGCACGAAAATTAATGTATAACGGCTTTCCGCCAACAAAACTTCAACGTACAAAAACGTAATTACGATCGCAATACAGAATACATATAATTGGAATTTTCGAAGTTGAATCGAAACGCAGAATACCAAAGTTGCCAATCGGAGAAAATTTCGATTCGAGTAGAAATGCAGAATAGGGCTGAATAGTTTTTAAATTCCACACTGCTTTGGATCGTTTTTTTTAGGTCACAATAGATGTGGACCTGTCAAAACTGTTGCGAAATTTTCAATAAACTAACAAAAGATAATTAAATATCAAAATTAATCCAACTTTTTTTTTTTTATTTTATTTGAGTTGTAGTGAAAGTGATGGACATAAAAAAATAGTGCGGAGATAGCTAAGAGATCGTACCAATAGCGTAGGTATAAAAAAAATTATGAATCCTCATTAATAAAATATTATTTGTAGATGTATCGTTGAACAAAGCATTGGAATCTTAAAAAGACGATGGAGAATTTTAGGAAATGGCAAGAGAGGAAGGTATCATCCAACAAAAGTGTGCTGATTTGCTAACGTTTGTGAGACATTACATAACATCTGCATAAAATTTACAATAAGTAACGACCCTCAAAATTGCGATTCTTATCACACACAAGAAATGGACACCGGGGTAGCGAACCGTTTCACCGCAATCGACCAAACGATAATTAACTAAATAAAGTATTCTTTAATGAATTTAATTCAAAAATGTATATGTCCTTAACCTTGCAAATAATTTTATTTTTATTTTTCAACAAAAATACAAACATTTTGTTCATATAATTTTTTTTTTTTAATTTTTAATGATGATATGCCATTCATTGGTTTCCTGTTTATGTTCTTTATTACTAAAAATTATAAAAAACTTAAAATTAAAAAAAAATTTTTCGCATTTAAATTAATTTGTCTATTACGATTGTTAGTATGCGTTTGAACGAACGGATACGTTTATATACTCGCTCACGTACGTCATCATGCCAGATTTCGATTTAAGCGTTACGATCACGTGTGTCATAATGCGAAATACAGATTGGAAAGTTAGTGCTCTTACCTAACATTTTCATCCATTTCATTCCATTTTCTCAACTTGGTCGCGCTTTGGAGAGCGAGTTAATTGTTTCTTGGTGAAATAAGGAGTTTTTCCAGTCCTGTACTGAATGTCAGACTGCTTCTGATAAGATCGGGTTTGAGGTTGTCTGCGGTTTTTTCCTCCAACGATCTTGCAAACTGGGCCGCGAATGGTGCCTATCGTGATTTCCTTCTATTTCCTGGGCCATTGCAAGAGCCGAGGGCAAATCTTTGGGCTGGGCCGCAGAAAGAACATCCGTGAGGTTTCTCTTTAACCTAACTGTCGGTATCAAACGTCATTGTAGTTTTATTTGTGAGAAGTGTGAGTCTTTTCTCAACCTTCTCATAAAATTGAATAATCGACAATTGTCTTGCCTTAGCGTTGTTAGTCTTGCTCGAGCAGATGCAATGGTCGCTTGTCTGAGTATGTAAAATCTAAACGGCTAATGATAGCGTCGAAATTAAGGACCGTGTTGAATGATGCTAAAACTGCATCAGTCGATCAACTAATTCTGTTGCGAATTATGAGGACAGCTTGGTAGTGTTTTGAAATAACGAAGTAGGTTTTAAATATTTATATCATACGCGGCAATAGCTGCCTGCCGCCAGAAGACATATTGCTCCTGTGAGTCATCGAACTCTGGCAGTGATTTAACTGCATCCAGGCCTTCATGACATTCTACCCCGTCTATGATTTTTATTGGTTCGTAAGTCTTAATTTCAACAGTTGCCATAGTTGTAACCTGAAACTGGTTTGTAAGCTCCTCTAGCTTAGTTTCAAAGTCTTTCCTTTGTACTTGTAGTGCGGCGCTGACAGCCGCATTGATAATACCCTGCAGTTGTTGTTCATTCATGTCTTGTTCGCGCCTGAGACGTTTGCTTGTCAAAAGTTGGTTGTCAAGTCTGTCCAACAGTTCATTAGTTTCAAGTTTGCTCATGCGAGGTAGTTAAGATGGCACGGACGGGCAGCGGACGTAAGTGCACAAAAGAATACCAAAAATGGGAAACAGGAGTTCAAAGTACTACCCTGTTTATTACAACCACACTAACCACTAATTGTCAAATTATCACTAATATAATTATAAACAGAAGGCGGAGAGAAAAAAAGTTTCACTTACATAATTTATCGGTGGGGTCTTGATTCCTCTACCTCCAGTTGATGGTGATGGTCCTTTCTCCATGGGTTTCTTCCGGTTGGGCGCCAGTTATTTTATTCTGACACTTGCCTGTTCGAAGTTATTTTACTTCGGACAGTTGCCTGTTCGAGTTACCACTTATTAAATTATTTTAAATTTCTATTTCTTCTTTTTACGGTAGCGACGGTGTCGTCCTACCTGAAGTTATTTTGAAATGAACACTTTGAGTTTCCTTCTAAAACTGATTTATTTGATAATTTGTAAGCTTACAGATAGCCTACCATTCTTACCGTCGCTGCTGCCGTTTGCGTCGGTCTTTAATTGCTTCCATAAGCACTTCCCACGCATTGCACTGATCATCGAATTACAACAGCTGACGAAACATTTAATTTGATCGCGCATGAAGTGAACGATGCAGACTGCAATTTTGGAATTTTTGCAGCATGGGAACTGCAGTACGTTAACTACTGTTAACTAATACATATATAAAAGAGTAGCGTTTTTTCTGTTCGTTTGTGACCAATGGACAGCCAAACGGATGTAGGATTTTTCAAATATCCTTTTACAATGAATTGCTATTGGTCCATAGATTGATTGTAGTAAAGAAAAAAAATTAACTAAATGATAATTTTTTTAATGCCTTCAGAATTTGATCTGTGCTTTAATCAGCGTTTTGTTTTCTGAACAGAACTTACAGAATTGCATAATTCACAAAATTTTTGCGTTTCCGTTTGTTGTTTTCGTTCGTTATTTTTTGCAATACTAAAATAAATAATTGATAAATATTACTTTTTTCATTTTAGAAGAAATACTGTTTGTGCCATTGTCAAAATGCTCTTGTGACACAGTGCTTTGTTCTGATGAGAAATGATTTTTTTCGAAGTCGAAGTAGTGACGTCCTTCACGTTGACCGTCTTCACGTCTTGTATGACCACGTTTAAATCCAGCAGGGGTTTCATTTACTACTCCGTCGCAGCAAAATTTCTAGAATTATTGCTATGCTCTTACTTTGTCGGTAGAGCAGTAGAGATATGGCATAACATTGTAAAAGTATGTTCTCTGTTCTGCTCCGAGTTTTGTGGACAACGCTAGACAACACACATCTTTGATGACTCGGCAAAAACTGGGAAAGCTTAGCTGGGAAGTTGTGGTGCAGCTCTGACTTTGTATCATCGGACTTCAATTTGGTTCGGTCAATGGAGTAAAGTTGGATTTAAGAGAAGCTTGTGAAAATTACTTGTCGCTGTTTTTCGCCGAGAAATCAGAAAACTTTTGTCTGTTGAGAACAAATTGCAAAAAGTTGTTGACCAAAATGGTAGAAATACGAAAACGTAGAGCACTTAATTAAAAAGTGATAAAATATTACATTATTTGGTAATTTAAAAATTGTATTTTTTGTAGTATGTTTAAGTTTTTACAAATTTACCGAACCGGATGTGGTACGCTAGTTAATTCTATAAAACATTGTATCACAAACATATTTTACACACTTAAAACGTAATTTTTCAACAATAGTCAAAATGACTTTTTATGAGATAAGAAATTGTTTTCTTATTTTTCTGTCCTTAACCTCATAATAGGAGTTTCTGATTTCGATTTGTTCATAGTTAGAAAGCA